GGAATGTAGCAAAACCTTTGAAAGACCATTGCTCTGATAAAGGAAGATCAGGTTTAGTAAATTTTGTATCAAGTATACCATCACAGACATGTGATCCTAAAGAGAAATAAGTAAGTTTGACTTCTATCTCATCTGAATATTTATAAATTGTCACACTTCTGAGTCCCTCAACTGTAAATTGGATAGGAATATTTATTTGTAGTATTGTGAAGAACAAATGAAATGACATATACAAAGGAAATTACACAGTTCTTGGATCGTGTAAGTTATCCATTAAATGTAAATTTTCTTCCCCAGAAATTAGCCATTGGTTTTTAATTTATCTGGATTTGACATTCATGAATTACGGTGTGAGGAGGTCCTTTACTAGCACTAATAACAGGGTACGGACTCTTTCCAAATACCTCAGGAAGCAGTGCTAAGCAAGGCCTGGTAAACTTGTGCTTTATCCTTCCCTAGGCAGTTATAAAAAAACATTCTAGTGTAAAGAATATGGGTGACCAATCAAAATAACTAAGACAAGAAATAATTGTTTTTTTCATTCTCAATTTTATTTATTTCTAAATATTTTATTTATTTTAGAGAGAGAGCGAGCACACAAGTGGGGAGAGGGGCTGAGGGAAAGGGAGAGAATCCTCAAGCAGACTCTGCACTGAGCACAGAGCCTGATGTGGGACTCGATCCCATGACCTTGAGATCATGATCTTAGCCAAAACCAAGAGTCAGACTCAACTGACTAAGCCACCCATGTGTCCCTTCAATTTAATTTTATTCTCAATTCAGAATAACTGCCTTCAAATAAGAAGAACCTTAAAAAAAAAAAAAAAAACATATTAAAGAGGGGCACCTAGCTGGCCCAGTCAGTAGAGCATGTGATGCTTGGGGTCGTGAGTTCATGCCCCACATTGGGCTTACTTTGAAAAAAATTTTTCTTAAAAATTAAAATGTTGAAAAAAACACATATCAGGGATGCCTGGGTGGCTCAGTGGTTTAAGCATTGCCTTTGGCTCAGGTCATGATCTCAGGGTCCTGGGATTGAGGCCTGCACTGGGCTCTCTGTTCAATGGGAAGCCTGCTTCCTCCTCTGTCTCTCTGCCTGCCTCTCTGCCTACTTGTGATCTCTCTCTCTGTTAAATAAATAAAATCTTTAAACACACACACACACACACACACACACACACACACACACACACACACATCAAAGATACAGAACAGATTGGTGGTTGCCAGACATGGGGTAGGGGTGTAGGTAAAATGGGTGAGGTGCGTCTAAAGGTACAAGCTTCCAATTATAAAATAAATGAATCATGGGGATGTAATGTACAGCATAGTGACTAAAGTTAATAAAACTATATTGTATATTTGAAAGTCGCTAAAAGTTCCCGTCAAAAGAAAAAAAACTTTTGTAACTATGTATAGTAATGGATGTTAACTAGACTTATTGTGATCATTTCACAATATATACGAGTACTGAATCATTATGTTGTACAACTGAAAATAACTATTTTATTTCAGTTATATCACAATTAAAAAAATAGATGACTAATATACCTAATAGTTTATTTTTAAAAATTCACATACTGTGATTCTCACACTTGTTAGGATATTGAGAACTGTGTGTTTGTTGGTTTGTTTGTTTGAAATAGAGAGCACAAGCAGGAGTAGGGACTGAGGGAGAGGGAGAAGCAGTCTCCCCACCGAGCAAGGGCCCCTCCCCTCAATGTGGGACTCAATCCCAGAATCCCAGGATTGTGACCTGAGCCAAAGGCAGAGACTTAACCGACTGAGTCACCCAGGCACCCCAGGATATTGAGAACTGTTAAGTGATGGGTGCAATTAGTGGTTCACCATGAAATATTTTTATTAGATAACACAAAGTTAGAAAACATACAAATCTATATTATCAAAATTACAGCAAAATATGCAAAAACATGAGTTCATCCATATAACCACATATTAAACTAGACAAGAGCTATTTCAGAATTTATGTTTAACAAAGAATTGTTTAACAAAGAATTTGCTTTGTTATTAAGATATTTTGTTACTAAATACGCACCATTTTTTGTCATGTAGTAGGATTCCTTTATAAGGAATTAGTAACATTGATAAGAAACGTTTCTGAGAAGAAAAAGAAACTTGGAAAATTATATGAATTAATTTATTTTCCAGCAAATTGAAAAAGTGTCATATACTAATCATTTCCCTGTCATCATTTCAGCTTCAAACATGCCCTTCTCTATTCCGAGACACTGGAGGTGGAACTCTGACAAAGCCATTTCCCAGTCTCCCTTGCTTACTGCTATAGTTTGCCAATGGAGAAATTAAAGGGAGACTGAAAAGCGGAAAGGGAGAAGGAACTCACTTCTTATTTTCCGGTTCTTTCAGTATCTCTAGCAACAGAACAGGGCTATAGCTTGCCTGCAAATTCTTTTTGCAGTTAACAGTCAGGCTGAATCTCCTCTTCAGAGCTCTTAGGATCTGGTAAATCCATCCCTTCCCTCGTTCCTCAAGCTCTATGGTGTTAGTGGTTTCTTGATGTTACAAATCTATCCCCTTTTTGGTCTTTCAGTCATTCAACATTGTATAATAAATTTTCTGCAATTAAATATTCTGTTTGAAATTGTCAGTGTAGTTCTGCTTTTTTTTTTTTTTTTTTTTTTACTATATCTTGATGGACATCGTCCTACCACAATTTGTTTTAACAATGCAACCACTAACTTGGTTGCCATACTTTGAGTACTACTGTCCTGCTCTACTGGAGATGACTAGAGTCAAACCAGTGTTGGACTTGGTGGTATGAGATAAGAAAAATAAATAAAAGACAAAAAATCTTCCTATGATCAATTACGACATGTGAAGAGGTAGTTATACACATTCCAAGTTTCTCTGAAGGTATACTGTGCCAGTCAAGAAAGGAGTGTCTTGGGGCTCAGTGGGTTAAAGCCTCTGCCTTTGGCTCGGGTCATGATCCCAGGGTCCTGGGATTGAGCCCCACATCCGGCTCTCTGCTCTACGGGGATCCTGCTTCCTCCTCTCTGTCTGCCTCTCTCTGCCTACTTTTGACCTCTGTCTGTCAAATAAATGAATAAATAATCTTAAAAAAAAAAAGGAGTGTCTTACATTTCTAGCACATTAGTATGAAATGCCCAAGATGATCTCTAGTACTAGCTTCAGCAGCACATATACGAGATGATCTGTAACCTGCACTGATAATCAAATCCAGGAAAGAGCTGTTCCATGTACTGGTCAAGTAGCAAACCAGAATTATCATCCAAAGAACACTTACCTAGTACATTTGCCCATTTATTGTGACCCAATTATTAAATGTCTTTATAGAGTCTTTAAAAAAAAAAAGTGCTTGCCTTATTTTGTAAGTAACAATGACCAATTTCACAGAATAAACAGCAAATCACTCCAACCCTATTAGCCAGACTCCTTTTGTTCAAGTCTCTCTGGCTTTAGCTATTAGAGGTGTGTGTTTGTGTGTGTGTGTGTGTGTGTGTGTGTGTGTGTTTAGGGGGAGATTGGAGGGATTATTCTCCAAAGATTGGTTGTCATTCAAGAACTTCCTCCTTGTTTTCCACATACCCCTACTTGACTTCAGTACACCTTCCAGATCTTTCAGGGTCTGGGGATCGGGATGAATGTTGCTTTGTTCAGAATTTTAACCACCAAATACTTTCTCCTTGATCAAATTTTAGTTAGGCTCCTCTGGACCCTCTTCTCAACTGTGAGGCTTCAACCTTTGGGTTTCAATATTTGTCTTTGCATTACCCAGTTTTAGCAAGAATTCTGTCAACTCAGTTTAGCCAGAGCCCTTAATACCTGACTACTTTTAATATCTAATTAAATTCCTCATCCACCCAGGCAATATCTGATCACCCTGGACTGCCCTCAGCAAGAATTCTGTTTGTCAGTCTAGCAAGAATTTTCCCCTACCCTTGATGTCTCCTCTTAATTTTCCATCCAGGCTGCCCCAACCCCCATAAACTTGTTCCTTGCACATTTTAAACCCTACTTGTTCTTGCTGTATTGGAATTGAGCCCAGTTCTATGCTGAAGTTTCTTCTCCCCTATTACAATTGTTTTTGAATAAAAGTTTTTTTAAAAACCTCTTTTACTACCATTCAGCTGTGGCTTTCTTTAACTTCACTCAGGGGCTCACATTCTTGTCATGACTGACAAGTTTTCTTGAAGTTGGGCCCTGAATGAAGTTGTCAAGTGAAAATGTGGAAGCAGTACCAAGAGAACCCCTAGAGATCCGGCTATCACATCATAAAGGGCTCTGGGGCAAATGGGTGTCTTCCTAAGGGAATCTAATTACCCTTCTGTGGTACCACATTAGGTCCAAGTAGAGAAAGGGTATAAAAATGAAGGTAACAGTGACCTGGCCCATGGCCGGTGGTGAGGGACGGCATAGGAGCGGGCGAACAGTTAGATCTGGAGACAGTAGTCATACACAAAGGCACACAAAGAAAGCTCTCCGACCCGCTCCACACTAAAGGCAAGCCCAGAAACAAAAAAAGCCCCAACGCGTGTCACAAGTAAACTCCTTCGATCTCCAGGGTAAGAACAGAAAGAAATGGTCGCCCAAAGTCAGCCACAGTCCCTCTCTCAAATCCACAAACACTCTCACATTCTCGGCATCACACAACGACCCACAATCACCGGACGTGATTTTAAATGCAGAAGCTCACTGCACGGACAGAAAACTTTGCCCCGCGGTGCGCAGGCACAAAAGTGTGCAACGACGGTCACACACAGATCGCCACACCTGAGCATTCAGTAACAGTCACGTACGCGCGGAGCTTCACGGTTTCCTCACACGCCGGTGCCCAGGGGCCCTTGAGTGCCCGAGCTCGACTCCAGGGGCACACACCTCTCCACTTAAACACCCTCGGCCGCCGCAGCCTGCGCAGGCGCGGAGTAGAGGCGGGCCTTGGGTTCCTCTGGGAAATGTAGTTTAGCAAAGAAGGCCGCGGCGCAAAGCGTCCTGGGACTCGTGGTTCACGGGGGTCGTAAGGAAAAGCTGAGCAGCGTCCAGTTCAGCTGGATGTTTCCCCAGCCGAGCTCGGTGTCCCGCGCGCCTCAGTCCCTGCTCACCTTCACCCCGCGGGGGATTCTGGGAGGGGACGTCGCGGGTCCCGAGTCGCTGGGCGGGTTTCCAGAGCCCGCCGCGCTGGGAGGTGAGTTGGGCCTGGCTGTGCGCGGGAGCTGGAGGTCAGGGCCGGGCTTGGGGTAGAACGGCAGCTACAGGGATTGGACCAGGGTGGGTGCATCTGGGGTTACTGTCCAACTAGCTATGTGAGAGGCCGCTGTGTGACAGAATGTGATCTTGTCTGTCACCGCATGTGTGCTTAGGTGCGACTCTATGTTTCAGGTATAAAACTGTGTGTGCGTGTCTGTTTCTGCAGGTACAACTATGTGTTACTGAATATGGGTTTGTGAGAGACTGCGGGCGTGACACTGTGTCGCCGATGAATTTGTGAGATTATGTTTGACTACTTGTCTCTGTGGATATAACAGTGTTTGAATGTGTATGACAGCAGGTGTCATTGTGTACCTGTGTCCATCTTCTCTCTGCGGGTATAGATTTGTATGAGTAATGATGACAGGTTGAGGGACCTAGTGTGGTATGTCACTGTGTGCGAGATTGCATGGGACTGTCTCTTTGTTGGGGTAATTGTGTCATGTGTCTTTGCGTTAATGCCACTGCATAGGTGTTTGACATTACAAGTGAACTTGCGTGACCATGGATAGTGTAGGTGTATGACTGGGTGAGAAATTCTATATGTAGGTGAGACAGAAAGCTTTATTGTATGGGACCCAGTGTGTGATAGTGGGTGCAGAAATATTAAAATTACTTGCCCAAGTTCAGACAGTTTTTTAGTGACAGAACGGGGTCTTGAACCTAGGCATTTTGGCTCCAGAGTCCTTGCTTTTAATCACTAAACTCTCTTGATCTTTCCCATATTGTGAGAATGAAAAATTTTGGTCCCTGGGTTCTAAGAGTTTTGGAGAGGATTGTCCCTGACCTTGGACTAGGAACTAGGACTAGGAACCTCTAGGATATGGGTTTCTTCCTTCATTCCCCTTGTGAGTCACAGGACCTAGTCTAAAGACATTGTAGTGAGACCATCCCCAAACTGACTGCCTCGGGGAGGAAAGCTTAATCTGAAAGCCTAGTTTTTCTCTCCTTAAGCCATGGAGTTTGAGATTTTAGGTTTGTCTTTGTCAAAATTCTTCCATGTTTGGTGCTCAGAGAGGCTGATCCATGGCTCTTTTCCTTATGTACCAAGTGAGCTAAATTTTAGTTCTGACTTTCTCAGTTAATAAGAAAAATGTTCTCATTTCCTTTGCAAATGTGCGTATAGAATGTAGGCAGGGACAAGGGTAGCACTTCTTTATACCAGAAATTGGCACATGCTGTCTCGACAGGAAAGAAGTGTTCTGAGAGATGGAGTAACATGCCCAAGGTCATGTAGCCAATGAGTGAAGTATTGGAGAGTCAGCATGTGCCTGGAGGTTATATAAAACCCAAGTCTTTAAATTCAGCTTCAGAGACTGGTGTTCATCTCAAAGTTGGAGAACATTATCCAAGCGGTACACAGCTACTTGCAAACAGAAATTTAAAAAATACATTTCTTTTATGCAACTGCTAGTTAGGGCTCCCAGATGCAGAGAATACTTCATTGATTCCTCTCAGATTGCAAAGGCTTTTATGGACAATTTGAAGCTGCATTGCGCTAATGAAATAAATTTCTTAAACACTGAGTTGGCTAGTGCAGAGTAGTAGCCCAGAATTAGGGGGTTGTGTATCCTAAATTCTAGGTCAAACACAACTATGCTCATTTTCAGAATGAAGAAATGTTGGCTCTGAGGGGACTGTGCACTTTGTTACTGGTTTGTATTAAAATGAGCAATGCCAGGTGGTGGGTATTAGAGAGGGCACGGATTGCATGGAGCACTGGGTGTGGTGCAAAAACAATGAATACTGTTATGCTGAAAATAAATAAATTAAAAAAATGAGCAATGCCTGCCTCACGCTTTATTCCTGTGAAGTAATAAAGGTAATATCTGCCCACTCTGAAGAGGCTTCTCTAGTAGATGTATAGCAATGATTCCCCAGGTTATGTTAAATATTTTGTTCAGACATTGTAGGCTCTTGAAGGAGGACCAGCTTTTGAGTCTCGTTGCAGTTTTACCCTTAGGACTGAGTAGTTGTTTAAGCTTTTTGAACCTCAATTTTACTTGTTGGTAAGATGGGGTTAATAATACTTATCTTTGCAGTTTTGTGAAGATTAAGATAACAACATACACGTGTAACATTGCTATTTATATTACAGGAGGCACAGCAAGATTTATTTACTCATTTAGCAGATATTTTTTGAGCTCCTGCAAAGGTATTATAAAAATAATATATAAATATATATTTATATATATATAATATAAAAATAACAGATATTTTTTGAACACCTGGCATTATTCTAAAACCAGAGATACATCAGTGAACAAAATGAATCATAGTTCTGTTAGATCCTACACTATTGTTTGGGGAGACAACAATAAAGAGAAAAAAGTAAGTCCAACGGTGTCAGATGCTAAGAAGAAAATGTATCAGGATAAGGGAAAAAAGAAGGGAGGTTCTCTTTAGATAGAATTTTCAGGAAGGTTCCTCTGATGTGACAATTGAGCACAAATAGGAATGTGAAGAGAGGGTGTGAGCCGTGTCCAGGAAGAAGGAAAAGCAAAGGCAACAGCCTTGAAGAAGGAGTGTGCACAGTGTTCGAAGAACTGTAAGGAAACCTGTGTGCCTGGAGTGGGATGAGCCAAGGGGGATGAGGTAGGAAGTGAAGTCTAAGGGGCAGCCAGGGGTCAGATCATAAACCGCCATTGTTGGCCATTTAGATTTTGTTGAGTTGAGGCTACATGTTCTTAATATCAGAAATTTAGGGCTTAAATTCAGCTCTGGTTTTTTTCTGAGATCTTGGAAGGAGGCTGTGGAGACCTTAAAGGGACAAGAGTTCTATCTTTGTGAATCTCAGGTCAGCAGCATGGGGCTGGTCTGCCATTTTTTTCCCCCTTTAATTCTCTCTTCTCAGGACTTTGTTCTCCAAAAGGGAAGACTGAAGAAGGAAAGAAGGATGGCTGTTGGGCTTTGTAAAGCCATGTCCCAGGTAAGTTGATGTTTTCACTTTGTTTGCAGAAATTCCACCTCATTTTTTTGGACTTTGGGACCTCAGAGAGTCAGAAATAGCCCTGTGAGCACTCTCATCTCTTCTGTCTCTTAACTACTTACGATCTCTCTACAAATCATTTACTATCTTTTTCACTCAGTGCTGTGCTGAAATATGTAATGGAAACCAACTATCCTCTTTAGATGGATCATGATTTGTTGTGCTGCCATTCAGTACAAATGAAATAAAGGACAGAGGTGTGATTATTGAGTGTCCTATTAAATAAGAAGGTCCAGGATGGCCTCTCTGAGGAAGTGACATTTAAGCAAAGAAAACCCTCAGTGAAAGTAGGGGGGAGGTTTTGTGAAGATCTGGAAAGGAGCTTTAGAAGGAGAAGGAAGGGGGCACCTGGGTGACTGAGTCATTAAGCATCTCCCTTCAGCTCAGGTCATGATCTCAGGGTCCTGGGATCAAGCCCCACATTAGGCTCTCTGCTCAGTGGGGAGCCTGCTTCCCCCCAACTCCCCTGCCTGCTGCTCTGTCTACTTGTGATCTCTCTCTCTGTCAAATAAGTAAATAAAATATATTTTTAAAAAAAAAAGGAGAAGGAAGGGGCGCCTGGGTGGCGCAGTCTGTAAAGTGTCTGCCTTCGGCTCAGGTCACGATCCCGGGGTCCTGCTCAGCAGGGAGCCTGCTTCTCCCTCTCCCTCTGCCTTTCCCCCTACTTGTGTTCTCTCCCCCAAATAGATAAATAAATAAAATCTTTTAATTAATTAATTAATTAATTAGAAAGAGACAGCAAGAGAAGGAACCCAAGCAGGGGAGTGGGAAAGGAAGAAACAGCCTTCCCTTTGGAGCTGGGAGCCTGATGCAGGGTTTGATCCCGGGACCCTGGGATCATGATTTGAGCCAAAGGCAGATGCCTAACCAACTGAGCCACCCAGGTGCCCCAAATAAATAAAATCTTTTTTTTTTAAAGGGAGAAGAAATAGCAAATATGAAGTTACTGTGGTGGGAAGATGTCTGATGTATTCTAGGAATATCATTGAGCTAGTTTCCTCAGAGGGGAATGAGCACTGTGAGAGCAGAGGAGTAGCTGGGGAACAAGTTATGTGGACGCTTGAAACTCATGACCAGAGCTTCGAGTTTTGTTCTGAGGGTGAAGGAGAGTCATTGGAGTGTTTGTGATTTAATTTGATTTCTATTTTAAAAGGAAAATAGAAAGGAAGTAAGGGTGGAGCCGGGAGATCAGTCAGGAAACTACTGCAGTAATCCACCTGGAAGGTGATAGCTACCTGGGCCATGGTGGTGGCATTGGAACTGGTGGGGTTTGGGGTATATGTTGGAGATAGAAAATATGGGATTTGGCCAGGGACTGGTTCGAGAGTGTAAAAGAAAGTCAAGGATAACTACAAAAATTTTTGACCTGGGGCAGCTGTACAAATGACCTTACCATTTTACTGAGGTGGAAAGACAGGGCAGAATGATGAGATGGGAACAAAAATTGAGTTCTTGATCTAGTAAGTTTGAGAGACCTGTTGGATATCCAAGTGCAATAGTGATTATATACCTGGAGTCAGGATTAGAGATGTGAATTTGAGAATCATTAGTATATTTAAAGCCATAGGACAGGATAGGATTATCTTGAGGGTAGGATTGTGGGTGTAGATAGGAAAGATGCCCAAGGACTGAGTTTTGAGTATTCAGTATCTAGAGGCTGAAAAGAAGAGAAGGAACCAGCAAAAGAGACTGAGAAGGACTGATGTAAGAGAAAAACCAGAAGAGTATGGGTCCTGGTGGTCAGGAGTACAGTGTGTTTCATAGAGGGTATGATCAACTAAATTAAATTCTTCTGAGAGACAGTGAGGAAGATGAACTGATCATTGGGTTTGGTAACATGGAAGCTACCGATATTCTTGACAAAAACTACTTGATAGAGTAGTTGGGATGAAAGCATTGCAGTGGTGTCACAAGGGAATAGTGGGCCTAAAAGGTAAGAAAAGAGATGAGTCGAGACCTGTGCTGTCCAATAATGTACCCCGTAGCCACATAAGACTGCTCTGAATTAAGATGTACTATAAGTATAAAATATATACCAGATTTTGAAGATTCAGTACAAAAGAATGTAAAACATCTCATTAATAATTTTTACATTGACTACATGTTGAAATAACATTTTAGATATAATGGGTTAAATATGTTATTAAATTTGCTTCTTTTTTATTTTTAAAGATTTTATTTATTTAGAGAGAGAGAGAGCAAGAACACAAGAGCAGGGAGAGGGAGAAGCAGACTCCCGGCAGAGCAGGGAGCTTGACTCGTGGCCGATCCCAGAACACTGTGATCATGACCTGAGCAGAAGGCCGAGACTTAACCGACTGAGCCACCCAGGCACCCCTAAATTTACTTATTTCTGCTTACCTTCTTTTTCTTTTTGCAATATAAATTAGTGATTCAGCATGACATTTGGTCTTAAACCTCTGTAAAATGGGGTTCATAATTTTTTATTTTTTTTAACAAGTTTTACAATGAGATTTGAGATAATATCAGTAAAATGCTCATTAGCGTGTCTTATACCACTTACTGGTATGTAGTAATTGGTCAATAAATATAGCAGTTATTCTTATTTGTTTCCATCATTAAATATATTTACTTTTTTAATGTAGCTACTGAAAAATTTTAATATGAGGTTTACTTTTTTTTTTTTTTTTAGATTTTTATTTATTTATTTGTCAGAGAGAGCGAGCACAGGCAGACAGAGTGGCAGGCAGAGGCAGAGGGAGAAGCAGGCTCCCCACTGAGGAAGGAGCCTGATGCGGGACTCAATTCCAGGATGCTGGGATCACGACCTGAGCCGAAGGCAGCCACCCAACCAACTGAGCCACCCAGGCATCCCTACTTTGTTTTTTTAATTTAAACAACTCTTTGGAAGAATTTTGTTTTAAGAGGAGTAGAAAAATTGGACAAAAACTACAGTGAATTATGGAAGGGAATTTATCTGTCCATAAGATGAAAGATACTGTATCAGTTTGTATACTGATAAAAATCATTTAGGAGGGGCACCTGGGTGGCTCAGTGGGTTAAAGCCTCTGCCTTCGGCTCAGGTCATGATCCTAGGGTCCTGGGATCGAGCCCCATATTGGGCTCTCTGCTCGGCAGGGAGCCTGCTTCCTCCTCTCTCTCTCTCTGCCTGCCTCTCTGCCTACTTGTGATCTCTATCTGTCAAATAAATAAATAAAATCTTTAAAAAAAAATCATTTAGGAAAATGGAAAATACTGATAATATAAGAGAGATATCTGTTATCTCCCTGATACAAGGAAGAGAGGTGACAGTGTCTTTGTGTGGACAAGTGGAGGGAATGGTCATAGACAGGAGCCTAGAGTTTCATGCATAGTCACAGAGGGAAGACAGAATATATGAGTATAGATACAGTTTAGCAAGGACCTGTGGTAAGCAAGAAGATCAGGAAGTTCAGGGAAGGAATTGGTGGTATTTTGAGACAGAGGCAGAATCTATATAATAGTCATAGGAAAACAGGAAAGTGAATTTATTGGGGAAGTGTAGTGGTGCTTTCGTGGACTCTCTGGTCATATCCTAGAAGTACATTGGATCAGTGTGTTTATCAGTCAGGGCTCCAGCAAGAAACTCAAAAGGGAAGTGTTTCCGAGTTAGGAATCAGTGTATAGAGAACTGTAAAGGATAGTGCTATACCCTTGGACTCCTAACAGTAAAACTTGGACCTGAACATAGAGATAGAGAGATCTGAATGGGGAGGGCCTTTGACAGGCATTGTGACCTAGGATCAAAGGACAGAGACCATACAGGGTGGTGCTGTAAGGACGGTGCCAGGGGAGTAAATATTGTGCCTCACTTGCCTCCTTCCCGTCTCTTGCATGTGGCTGAACCCAACTGAAAATGGGGTCTGGTCGGGGAGTCTCTTAGTGCAATCAATATGGGTCAGCCTCCCACGACACAGAGAAGTGTAGAGGGACACACGAAAGTTATATAACAGTATGTAGTTGTATGAGGCTTTTTTCTCTAGCCACATTCATCTGTATTTCTGCTATGTAGAATAACCATATTTGTCTTTTTTTTTTCAATTTGACGAACAGCAGTATACTTTTAATTTGAAAGCACAAGCAAAAGAGATAATTTTCTAGGTAAATATAACATACAAAAACTAGCTCAAAAAGTAGAGAACTAAATAGACCAATGCTCAAAAAAGAGTTAACACAGCAGATGCTGTGTTTAGAAGAACCCACTTCCTGGTTGGCTTTTGACTGGCATCAGAGATCTTGGCACTAGATCCATTGTCTGCACTGATAGATACTTCATGATTTTTTAATAAAAAATGAGACCATACTCTGCAAAATGGAACTCTGCCATTTTAAGCTTTGAGTACTCTTCCTTCTTATGGATGTATTACAGGAAAGTTTACCATTTATTCACTGAGTGGCAAGTATTTACTGTTTATAATGTGACAGGTTTTATAAACACCAAATATTCAAGAGCTTGTAAAACAGAGATCCTTCTCCTCGTACAGCTCATAGTCCAATGGTTTAGGCTAACCTGTTTATTTTATTTATTGATTTATTTTTTAAAAAGATTTTTTTATTTATTTGACAGAGTGAGAGTGAGAGGAAGAGAGCACACAAGCAGGACTGGCAGAGTGGGAGGGAGAAGTAGGTTCCTGAGCAGAGCTTGATCCCAGGAACCTGGGATCATGAACTGGGCTGAAGGCAGACGGTTAACTGACTGAGGCACCCAGGTGCCCCTTTATTTTATTTTTAAAAAGATTTTATTTTATTTATTTTAGAGAGAGAGAGCACATGAGCAGGGAGAGGGAGAGTGGCAGACTCCCCACTGAGCAAAGAGCCCAGGGGCTTGATCCCATGACCCTGAGATCATGACCTGAGCTGAAATCAAGAGTCGGATGTTTAACCCACTGAGCCACTCAGGTACCCCTAAACTTATTTTTAGACATTAAAGTTTTTTTCCAGATTTTTCATATAAACTTCCAATGAAAATTCTATCTAAATTACTTCACATATGGGGCGCCTGGGTGGCTCAGTGGGTTGAGTCCTCTGCCTTTCAGGTCATGGCCCCAGGGTCCTGGGATCAAGCCCCTGGGCTCTTTGCTCTGTGGGGAGCCTGCTACTCTCTCTCTCTCTCTCTCTCTGCCTGCATATTTGTGATCTCTGTCAAGTAAATAAGTGAAATCTTTAGAAAAAATAAAATAAAATAAATTACTTCATATACTTCATTATTTCTTCAGAACACATTTTTACAAGTTTCTCCTCATATATCAAATCTAAGTTTCAGACCATACCCTATTGTTAAACCCCAATTCAAGGTCTTCCCTCACTACTCTGACCCATTCAATATCTCAGTTTGAGGAGTATAAAGGAATCATCACTATCAGAATTTCTTGATACATAGTATATGTAATATAAAATAGCCTTGCTGACATACTTTCATGTTATAAACTCATGTTTCATGTCGTAAGGTAATTTTTTTCCTGTGTGTACATCTCTTTTTATTCATAATTGTGAAATTTTCAAGGGGTGAGTCTGTTTCTAATATTTCTCTTTCAAAATTTTTGACAAACCTGGGCATGTACTTGCTCCCTAGTAATTATTTTCCTCAGGCCACCTAGAGCTTTGAACTCTGGCAAAATTTCATCTTTTCTGCTAGGACCATATGGGAGTACTTGGCAACAAGATCTTCTTTCCTCTTTGGTATATTTTTTTTTCTAATTTCAGGGTCTGGTGACCTTCAGAGATGTGGCTCTAGATTTTTCCCAAGAGGAATGGGAATGGCTGGACCCGTCTCAGAAGGATTTGTACAGAGATGTCATGTTGGAGAACTACAGGAACTTGGTATGGCTTGGTAAGGATGTCTCCCCCATAATTCAGAATCTTCCCTCTGGGGTGTTTTTGCTTCCTCCACTGGGAATATCTAGGTCATCTTAAGTGCTTAGCTGAATTTCTACTTTCTGTTCCCAGGGAATAATTTGAAGTAGTTTCAAAGAATTAGAAATGAGTAGTCCCCATTGCTGTAGAATGAGGTAGGAATTTGTTAAATTGCGAATTATGAGGTCCCACCCTAGACCTCCAGAATCAGAAACTCAGGAAATAAGCCCAGTAGTCTGGGTTTTAATGAGCCCTCCAAATGATTCTGATGCCCATAAAAGTTTGAGAACCACTGTGATTTCTGACTTAGTAGGTCTGGGCTGGGGCCTAAGACTTTGCATTTCTAGTAAGTTCCTAGGTGGTGGTGCTTTAGCACTTTGAGAACCACTACTGTGGAAGAAGCTTCATCTTCATCCTTCATACAAGCATCATTCCATTCTCTGGCCCTTACTCTAATTTCTTTTCTTGCCTAATGAACAAAAGATTGAGATTGAGTCCTAGAAAGGCGATAGCAAGTTGATTGTCTGCTGTTTGTCTCTTTCTTGCTCTCATTTTTCTTCTCCTGTAAACAGGACTCTCCATTTCTAAGCCCAACATGATATCCTTATTGGAGCAAGGGAAGGAACCTTGGATGGTGGAGAAAGAGATGTCAGATGGTCAGTATGCTGGTGAGTGACTGGGAGCTGGGCAAGGAGGGCTGTTGTAGGGTGGCAGGCCAAGAGGTCATGCGAAGGCTACCCTGCACTTGAGGAGGCTGCCCTGGGCTTGGCGGGGGTGGGTTTCTCCCTACTGCTATCAAATTATACACTTGTGATTCTTCTGCGTATGACCCGAATCTCAGTCCTTCCCACTTCTTCTTTCCCTTTTAGGGTCAGAAATGTATACATTTCCAGATTACATTTTAGAGTTTTTATTTTTACCAAAGTTATCAGGGTTATGCATGCACATTGTTTAAAGAGTCAAGTAGTTTTACAAGACTTATTCCCTTAAAATACATGCTGCCAAAGCGAGCACAAGACTTACTCCCTTAAAATAGGCAGTCTCTTGTCTTCTTCCTCAATTTCCCTCTGCTTAGAAGGATTGATCTTGCTTTTGCAGCTTATTTTGGATGTTTCCTTCAAATCTTTAATATGTTTATGTTGCTATTTTTTTTTTTTAAAGATCTTATTTATTTGACAGCGAGAGATTAGAAGTAGGCAGAGCAGCAGGGGAAGCAGGCTCCCCGCTGAGCAGAGAGCCCAATTCAGGGCTCAATCCCAAGCCCCTGAGATCATGACCTGAGCCGAAGGCAGAGGCTTAACCCACTGAACCACCCAGGTGCTCCTATGTTGCTATTTCTTAATTATTTCCAGGTGTAGACCTCATCCAATATTTTTTAAGAAAGTAAGAACTTAGTACTTTCTTTTTTTTAAGATTTTATTTATTTATTTATTTGACAGGCAGAGATCACAGGTAGGCAGAGAGGCAGGCAGAGGGGCAGGCAGAAGCAGGCTCCCCAGTGAGCAGAGAACCTGAGGCGGGGCTCGATCCCAGGTTCCTGGGATCATGACCTGGGCCGGAGGCAGAGGCTTAACCCACTGAGCCACCCAGGCACCTGCCCCCATCTACTCTTAAGCACTTCCTTCTTTCCTGGTTCCAGGTATTCTAGGTTCATCTTGTTTTCCTTGCCTTAGCCTTGAATCAGCTGTTTCTCCTGGGAGCTCTGTTTCCCTTTATTGGGAAATGATGCTTAGAAACCAAGGTCTGGGTGCTATGTGTGCTCTTTGCTACCAGGATGTCATTGTTCTGAGGCCCTCACAGCAGATTAGCTGGAAAATATATGCATGTGTAACCCAATACACACAGGTATACTCACATTTCTATATTTATATCTGCCTCTGTCTTTTTATATATTAAAATTCTCAGTTTATTTTGATATCCTTTTTTTAAAGATTTTATTTATTTATTTGAGAGAGAGAGAGCAAGTAAAAGAGAACATGAGAGTGGAGAACGTCAGAGGGAGAAGCAGACTCCCCGTGGTGCTGGGAGCCTGATGTGGGACTCGATCCTGGGATTCCGGAACCATGACCTGAGCTGAAGGCAGTTGCTTAACCCACTGAGTCACCCAGGCACCCCTATTTTGATATCTTGATTCTAGTCCTACTCCACAGGGTTTATTTTAGCCTTTCTCCTTTACTTATCTATACTTTCTTTTTCTGACAATGAGAAACAATGTATTTACTTATTTATTCCATTTTAGTATACACATTAAGTAGTTTCAGAATTTCCAAGCTATTCCTCTGTGAGAAACAAATTTACTAACTAGATTACATTATTTGTATATGGTTGTTTCTGTCTGTAGTCTTCCATAATCAGTCAAAATACTCTTTTCCAAAGTTATCTAGGTTAGCTCTTTTAGATTCATTTGTTACTACTTGTATTCTGTTTGGGTTCCTGCCACACTTGGTTGGTTTTAATTATATATTTATTTTTGTATCTGAAACATTACTATGCTTTTAAGGATCAGAGCTATAGAAAAATATATCCTCAGTAATATGTTAGTTTCTCTTTATACCCACTATCCTAATTCTGTTCTCTAATGTCTTCCTACCCCTTTCTTACCCACTTCTTATAGATTATGGATCTCTTTATTTTCAGATTTGTCCTTTTTATGTTTCTTTTGTATGAATGAACCAATATATATGTAGTTTCTCGTATCTCCTTGTATGCTACATAAAGGGTAGCATACTGGGGCGCCTGGGTGGCTCAGTGGGTTAAAGCCTCTGCATTCAACTCAGGTCATGATTCCAGGGTCCTGAGATTGAGCCCCGCATTGGGCTCTCTGCTCAGCAGGGAGTCTGCTTCCTCCTCTCCCTGCCTGACTCTCTGTCTGCTTGTAATCTCTGTCAAATAAATAAATAAAATATTTTTAAAAAAGGGGGGGTAGCATACTGTACATACTCTTTGCATCTTGCTGTTTTCACTTAACTATAAATACACTCCATTAGTCATGGACATCTTCCTCATTTTAACAGCTACAAAATACTCCATTATCTGGATGTTATGGTAATTTATTTAACTACTCATTGATGTGTGGACTTCTGGGATGTTTGCACTATTTTACAATTAGGACCAGGACTTCAGTAATAACCTTGTATGTATGTTTTCTCATATTGTCGAGGCTGTATTTTCAGGATAGATGCTTGGATGTAGGATTGCTGAGTGTGTATGTAGTTTTGTTAGGAATTGCCAAATGCCCTTCCAGAAAAATTGTAGCGGACTGCTTTCTATATTAGGTTTTTTATTGCTGCTGTAACAAATTACCACAAATTTACTGGCTGAAAACAACATGAATTTACCATTTTATAGCTCTAGAGGTCAACAGTTGAACAATGGGTCTTATAGGACTATAATCAAGATGTTAGCAGCTTGTCTTACTTATGAATACCGTAGAAGAGAAACTGTTTCTTGCCTTTTTATGCTTTTTTGGGATCTTTCCTCATCCTTTTATTTTCAGTTTTTAAAAATCACTTTAAGTATGACATTTATATACAGTATAGAATTGAGTTTTTCTGTGTGCCAATCTGAATATCATTTTTCAATTTTATAGGTGAAAGTCCAGTACATTTCTTATATGTTTGGGCTTAATTCTGTGTATTGTTTTATATGACATTTTCTAGTTTTTACAGGTTTTTTTTTTTTAACTTTACTTATTTATTTGACAGAGAGAGAGAGAGATCACAAGTAGGCAGAGGCAGGCAGACAGAGAGGGAGGGAAGCTGGCTCCCTGCTGAGCAGAGAGCCCGATGCGGGGCTCAATCTCAGGACCCTGGGATTATGACCTGAGCTGAAGGCAGAGGCTTTAATGCCACCCAGGTACCCCATGGTTTTTACAGTTTTTAAAAAGACATTTACTTACCTATTTTTCTAGCCTTTTATTTTGGTCACTTAATACTACAGTTTTGTAATAAGTAGGAATTTTTTTTCTTTTGTTCCAGTGTTACAGTGCTCTGTTTTTGTAGACAATATTTATTCCTTCTATTACTTTAAAAACTAGCCTTTGAGTTTTTTTTTTTACCTAGTACAGATGAGTCAGTTAGTAGGCTTGTTTTACTTCCCACTTCCTCTTCCTAAATTTTGTTAGTTGTACACTTTTTATATTGTCAAGGTATATTATATTTACATGCTTTCTGTCACATTTGTCCCAACCTTTCATTTCATCTTTGTTCTACAGTTAAATATATTCAGTGTTCTCCATGAGGTCCTTTTGCTGAGATTTTCTCTAGATATCTCTTGGTTGTCTGAAGTTTGTCCTCTAAAAGTTTCCTCACAAAGAGTTCACACAAATAAAGCTTCCCAGGTTCTACCTCATTCACAATTAGCTGTTCTTTCTTTAAGTTTATTATAGTGTAATATTAATGTTGAATAGTGTTATGAAAAAGTCTGATACCAACTTGATATTTTCCTTTATGTATTATTAGCTTTATATTTTGTTCTGGTCTCCTAGTAGTTCTTTCTTTAATTTTAAAGTTATTTTGTTAGAGTACGTCTCAGTCTTGACCATTTTTGGTTACCTTTTCCTGCCTTTTCTTATTTTCATTTCTACTTTATCAACTACAATTTCCATATCTATGTTGAATAATTGCTATAACTTTTTTTCTTTCTGATATCACAGGACATTCTCAGGTGTTTCACATTAAATGCCTATTTTTTTCTGTTCCTAGCTCTATGGGTGTATATATTTTAAGCATGAAAAGCTTTTGGATTTTAAATACTTTCAGCATCTTTTAAGGCAATTATTTTTTTTTCTCTTCCTTTACATTTTTTTCTTTCATAAAATTTATAGAAGAAAAATTCTGTAAGAACTTATAGTGAAGATTTCCTATTGCTGAACTATTTTTGTATTTCTGAATTGCATACATGGTCATGTGTATTATTCATTAAATATACTGCTTGATTTAATTTCTAATATTAAAGAATGTCCTGTTATCCATGGGGGAGATCGGTCTGATATAAGGGTAGTGAAGGAGATCGGTGGAACAATAGAGAAAGCACAGAAATATATACGAGAACTTAATATTTGATAACAAGGTGGCTTTTTATTTTTTTATTTTTATTCTTTTTAAAAGATTTTATTTGTTTATTTGACAGAGAGGGACACAGCAAGATAGGGAACACAAACAGGGGTAGTGCGAGAGGGAGAAGCAGGCTTCCCACTGAGCAGGGAGCCTGATACAGGGCTTGATCCAACCCTCGGATCAGGACTTGAGCCGAAGGCAGACACTTAATGACTAAGCGACCTAGGTGCCCCAACAAGGTGGCTAAATTTTAAATCAGTGGTGTAAAGAGATTTTCTTAAAAGTTAAGGATAGTATTTGTATAATACTGGATTTTGGAAAGTCTTTCTTAAAATGTATATCAAGGCCAGACTGCATAATGGAAAAATGGGAGATTTGGCTTCATGTTTTCAAAAATTTTAATTGAAAGCACTGTAAATGAAGATGACATGTGACAATAAAAAGTGATGACTTGAAAAAAAACGTGATGATCAAGGGGAAAAAAATACTATAAAGACTTAATGCCCTAAATTTATAAAGGACTTCTATAAACTACTTAAAAGAAAATGCTAATGCAATTAAAACATGTGTAAAAAATACAAATAAAGAATTCACCAAAGAAGAAAACCCAA